CAAGGGTCATTCAATGTACGAAAATCAATTGGTGTAATATACTACATAAGTAAAATAACAGAAAAAACACATCATCTCAATTTGATGCAGAAAAAGCATTTGAAACAATCCAACACCCTTTCATGATTAAAAAAAAAAACACTCAAAAAACTAAGAATAGAAAGAAACTTCCAATATGATAAAAGGCATTTATGAAAAATCCACTGCTAACATCACACTCAATGGTGCAAGAGTGAAGGCTTTTCCTCTAAGATCAGGAACAAGACAAGAATACCCACTTTCACCACTTCTATTCAACATTGTATTGGAACTTTTAGTCAGAGCAATTAGGCAAGAAAAAGAAATAGGCATGCACATTGGAAAAGAAGTAAAACTATCCCTGTTCCCAGATGATATAATCTTATATGTAGAAAATCCTAAATATTACACACACACACATACACACACAAACCTGTTAGAGGGAATAAACAAATTCAGCAAAGAGGCAGGATACAAATTCAACACACAAAAATCAGTTGTTTCTATACACTGACAACAAACAATCCGAAAAGGAAATTAGGAAAACAATTCAATTTACAATAGTATCCAAAAGAATTAAATACTTAGAAATAGCCAAAGAGGTTAACTTAATCACTAAAAACTACAAAACACTGCTGAGAGGAATTAAAGACATAAATAAATGTAAAGACATCTTATGTTCATGGATTGGAGAACTTAATAGTTATGACGTCAATGTTACCCAAAGCAATCTAAAGCAAAAAATCCCTTTTTGCAAAAATAGAAAAATCCACCCTAAAATTCATATGGAATCTCAAGAGACCCCAAATTGCCAAAATCAATCTTGAAAAACAAAAACAAAATTGGGAAATTCACACTTTCTGATTCAAAACTTACTACAAAGCTACAGTAATCAAAACAGTATGGTATTGGCATTAAGGATAGATCTATAGATCAACAGAAAGAAATAGATCCTAGAAATAAACCCACTTATTTGGTGAAATGATTTTCACCAAGGGTGCCAAGACCATTCAAGGCAGAAAGGACAGTCTTTTCAATAACTGGACATCCACATCCAAAAGAATGAAGTTGGACCCTTACTTAACACCATATACAGAAATTAACTCAAAATGGATCAAAGACCTAAACGTAAGAGCCAAAACTATAAAACTCTTAAAAGAAAACATAAGCAGGAAGCTTCATGACATTGGATCTGGCACTGACTTCTTGGATATGACACCAAAGGCACAGGCAACAAAAGAAAAATTACACAAAATTGGATTTCATCAAAATTAAAAATTTAGTGCATCAAAAGACACTATCAACAGTATAAAGGCAAGCCACAGAGTGGGAGAAAACATTTGCAAACCACATATCTGATAAGGGACTAATATCCAGAATATATAGAGAACTCCTAAAACTTAATAGAAAAACCCAATTCAAAATGGGCAAAGGACTTGAATAGACATTTCTCCAAAGACATACAAATGGCCAATAAGTCCATGAAAAGATGCTCAACATCACTAATCATTAGGAAATGTACATCAAAACCACAATGAGATACCACTTTATATCCATTAAAATGACTATTATCAAAAAAACAGCGTTGGTAAGAGATGGAGAAACTGGAATCCTTGGGCACTGCTGGTGGAAATGTAGCATGGGCAGCCATGGAAAACAGTATGGCAGTTCCTCAACAAATTAAAAATAGAACTTCCATATGATCTAGCAATTCCACTTCTGGGTATATACCTATAAGCACTGACAGCAGGGACTGGAATAGATGTTTGTACTCCCATGTTCAGAGCAGCATTATTCACAACAGCCAAAATGTGGAAACAATCCTCGTGTCCATCAACAGATGAATGGATAAACAAAATGTGGTATATATATACAATAGAATATTATTCAGCCTTAAAATGGAAGGAAATTCTGACACGTGCTTCAATATAAATGAACTTTGAAGACATTATGTTAAGTAAAACAAGCAAGCCACAAAAGGACACGTAATGTATGATTCCATTTATATAGGATACTTAAGGAAGTCAAATTCGAAGAGATAGCAAGTAGAATGGTGGTTGCCAGGGACTGAAGGGGGTGGGATTAGGAAGTTACTGTTTAATGGTTTAGAAGTTTCAGTTTGGGAAGATGAAAACAGTTCTGGAGATGGATGGTGGTGATGGTTGCACAGTAACGTAAATGTGCTTAATGCCACTCAAGTATACACTTAAACATGGTTATAATGACAGTTTTATGTTATGTAGATTGTACCACAATTTTTTTAATGTTAAAAAAGGACAGGGAAGGGATTCCCACTGGGCAAATTTGTAACAATTTGAGAATCAAAAAGAATAATGATTGTTGATCTTAATAGATTGAATTTATGAAAATTCATGAGCCAAAGTGACAAAAGGTCAGCTATCCCAGCTTTGAATATTGCTAACTGAAGTGAAAGAATTAAGCATTTATTCTGTCTTTCCAGTAGGAAACTATTATTTCAAAATCACCCAAGTGATTCCAGCTGTTTAAGAAAAATATTACTTTATGGAAGAATACAAACTAATAAACGCAGAAGAAATGGTGAAATTGGAAAATCATTATTTTACAACCCCTAATGAAACTTTTGGTTGAGGAAAAATTAATATTTGGTTGAAACCAGTAGGTGAGTGATTGGTGGGGAACTGGACATTGGGAGGCTTCCAAGGGAACCTTACAGATTACCTTCTGACCACAAGACTAAAAGAGAAGTTTGAATAGAGAGATCCATCAGGCTTTTCACTACCTTAATTCAAGGGCCAAGCCTAGTGTCACCAAATACGAGGAGCCAGATGTGTCTCCTAATGTAATGCAAGATGAAGCCTACGTTTATATGAGACATTCTTACCAAAAATCTGGAATTCAGTTAAGCCTTAAGATCTAACTCCAATTTAGAGGTGATACAAGAGAAAGAAGATCAAGCTAAATTATACCATGAGAAAGCAATCTGACAAATCCGGAAAAGGAATACCTTGCAAGACAAAAGTTAGGATTATGAAAAATGGAAAGGCAGACAGGAAAAAAGAAAACTATTCTAATTTCAAAGAGATTCAAGAGACATAATAACCAAATGCAGTGTGTGGCCTTAAATTGGATCCTGATTTGGACTGTAAAGGCCAGCTGTAAAGGCCATTTTAGGGACAACTAGGAGAATTTGAATAAGAATTATATCTAAGATGATGTTAAGAAAGTATCATTAATCTTTTTAAGCCTAAAAGCATTGGGGAGATCCTATCTGTTTTACTCACCACTATACGCTAAGCAACTGGCATAATGTAAGCACATACAGGCCCCAAAGAACTGTCTATTGGATGGGTATTTCTGGAGTGCTCAGCCCCTTTTCTCTCCCTCTCAGTAACGGCCCTCTTTTATTTTCCTGATCCTTCACAGGCAAACTTCTTTGGAGATGTCTAAACACACCTTCACCACTACCTCGCCTTATTATTCCCCCAAACTCACCCTGGCCCCCATCACTCCACGGAAACAACTTTCATAAAGGTCACCGATGACCTCCATGTCACCAAATCCAAACACTTGTCAGACTCCTTGCTCGACCTCTCAGGAGCTTCTGAGGCTCTTCGTTAAGTATCTCCTTGCCTTGGTTTCAGGAACACACTGACACACTTGCCTGGTTCTTCTCCTTCCCTTCTCTCTGGCCCTCCTCCTTCTCCATCTTCTTTGCAGGTTTTCCTTATGCTACTCTCTGGGCAATCTTTCTCATGCTAATGGATCCATTTCTGTTTATATCCCAATTATTCTTAAATCAATAGCTCCAGGGCAGACCTCTCCATAATCTTCCAGCTGCCAAACGCTTGGTCCATTTGGATAGCCCACAGGCTCTTCAATGGATTAGTATGTCCAAAATTTACCATCATCCTTACCCACCCACCCCTAGGGGGAAAAAAACTATTAATCCTGTTCCTTCTCATCTGTTGCTCTCTCAGAAAATGTCACCACTATTCTCACCCAACTGTGCAAGCCAGAAACCTGGTAATTTATCCTGGATGCCTCCCTCACCACCTAGATCCAAGTAATTACCAATTCTGGTGGTGTCTGCCTCCAAAACTTCTCCAGAATCTATTCAGTTTTCTCCGTCTCCACTCTCACTTATCTAGTTAGGCCGCCATTTTAGTTCTCGCTTGGATTATCACAATAGCTTTCTAATTATTGCCTTGAATTCTGTCCACGTCTGCCCGGGCACTCTTTAAAAAATGCAAATCAGTTTTAACACTGATCATATTAAAACTCATCGGTGGCTTCCTACTGCTCTTGGAATAACCAACTCAAGCCCTGGAGGACCTCGATGGTGCCCGGCATCCCCGCCTCCCCTCCCCTTGGGCCACACTCCCATCGCTCTCTTGGCCTTCGTCTCACAGTCCCATCTTTCACGTCCTCCAAGGTGGAGGCGTACTATCTCGGTCTCAGGACCTGCAAACCCTTCGCCAGTTCTCCAATCCCAGACCAAATCCTCTCCGCTGTGTTCCACCTCCTAAATCGGATCAAACACCTCTGCTGTTTGCTCCCGGGGCCCTCGTACTTCTTCACAGCAATCGGTACACTTCCAATCGTTCGGCTATTTATTAATAAAATGGTATAATATCTTACGCTAAATTCACCATTGCAATTCCCAAGATCTGGCAAAGGCCTGCCACTTAGTAGGGCTCCAATAAGTATTTAATTTCTTCTCCCTGGCCGCTCCCCGCTGACTTCCTCACTTCGTCTCTTTCCTGAGTACTCAAGTCTCTCCACCGGAAGTCACCTGGAACCTTTTTACCCCCAGCGCCCAGCACAGGAGCTAATGCTCGGTTGGCTATTAATTGAATAAACGACATATGATTTATGTCCTCGATCTCCCATCCCTCCCCTTCCCAACCCAGTCCCTCGGGCTCCTAATGCCCAAGATGTCTGCTTCCCTCCACACCCTCACCCTCCACACCCCCGGCCCCCGGGCTGATGCTCGTACTCACCTCCCCGAGCCGGTGCTGAGCCGCCTGCCACTGGCTCAGCCCCTCGGCCTCCTGCTCCATCTCAGCCTGGGATCAGCTGCACATCGGGACTGTGTGCGGGTCCAGACCCGCATGAGACCAGAGCTGAGCCGGGCCGCCGCGGCGCCGCAGGTCAGGCGGCCGGCAGCACCACGCCACAATCACCGCGCTGAGCTTCGACAGCCCGCGGCGCCAGGGGGCGGAGCCAAGGGCCGCACCCACCGACCCACCCAGCAGGGGCTGCCCCACCCCGCCCCGCTCCAGCGGGTCCTCTGCCCTGTCGCAGCAGGGTCGCTGACAGGGGACCTTAGACCCTCACCACTTCTTATTTCTTACGTCTGCCCCACTCTACCTACCCCATCCACTCTTCAGTCTGAGCATCTCCGTTTGGTCCAAGTGGGGATGGGGACACCCAGATTTCAGACTCCGGCCGAGCCCTGTTGACCTCCGAGTGGGGAAACGGGGAAGGAGTCTGGAGAGGGCCTCTGCAGACAGGAGAGCCTCCACCACCACCCCACCAGGTCAGGGCTCTTGCCATAAGCTCCCAGAGGCCTGGATCTTCTCCGCTATAGGACAGAGCTCTGTCGTGTGTGCGTGCACCACGGCACAGTGTTTTTATTCTGTGATACGTACTGAGTACCTGCTGTGTGTCAGGCACTGTGTTTTGGAACTAGGGATACAATGACAAACAAGACAGAAAAAAGTCTTTGCTCTCAAGGAATTTTCATCCTAAATGGGCAGACAAGAAATGAATATAATAAAGTCAATAGTTAATATAATTTTAGATGGTGGTGAGTGTTATGGAGAAAACAAAATAGGAAAATGTGAGCTGAGAACCAAGTGCCTGAAAGGAACCAGCCGTAGGAAGATTGGAGGGATCTAAGGCAAGAAAGAGCTTGGCATGGGGGAGGGAATATAGGATGGCCAGGTGACCTCAGTGATTTGAGCATGAGAAGAGTAGATTGACATGAGGACAGAGATGGGCAGGTCTTGGAGACCATGGAAAGTAGTTTGGATTTTATTCTAAGTGTGATAGGAAGCTGCTGAAGGATTTTAAGCAGGAAATTTAAGTTTTTAAAATAATCATTGGCTCCTTTGAGGCTTATGGATTACAGGGGACAAGATGGAAGCCACAAGAGGGATTCCAGTTAGAAAGCTAAAAGAGCTCTCCAGAAAGAGATGTCAGTGTTTGGTGGGGGTTGGTGATGGTGATTAGAGAATATTTTACAATTAAATGGGACAGGACTTGGTAATGAATTGGAATAGTAAAGGGCTGGGAGGAAAAGAGGAATCAAAGATGATTCCTCGATTTATTGGCTTGAGCAACTGAGTGATGACTGCACCATTTGGTGTTACGGAAACATGGGAAGAGGAGCAAATTTGGAGGCAGCTGAAACAAGAATTCCCTTTTAGACATGTTGATTTTGAGATGTCTATTAAATATGCTCAGGAAGATGCCAGGACTGTAAATGTAAATCTGGGGGTTGTCAGCAGAGAGATATTGGTTATATTTAGAGTGGTTGATATCAACTAGGGAGATAGTTAGTGAGGACACAGCCACAGGACCTCCTATATTTAAGGGCCAGCAGAGCAGTGAGATCATCCAAAGAGACTGAGAAGTAACAGCCAGAGAAGTAGGGGAAAGTCAGGAGACTATATCTTAAGAAGCCAAGAGAAGCACATATTTAAAAGAGTTCAACTGCCTCAAATGTGGCTGAGATAAGAACCAGGTAAGTGCCTACTGGATTGGGCGAGATGGAGGTCATGGGTGACTTTGACAAAAGTAGTTACAAAGGAGATAGAAGCCTTATGGGAGTAGGTGAAAAGAGAACAGGAGTTGATGTGGTGGAAACACTGAGACACTGTCGGTAAACAACTCTTTCAAAGAATTTTTGCTATGAATGGGGGCAAAGAATTGAGGTGGTAGTTGAAAGGAGAATGAAGGGAGGCTGATGGAGATCCACCAGTAAAAAGAAACTGATATCAAAGCAGAGAGAGGGCTTAATTATAGGAGTGACATTGATAAATCAAGAAAGGACAGGACCAGGGTACAAATGACAAGAAGGCTTTTGGTGACAGCAAGGACTTTTGCTCTATCATAACAGATGGGGTAACAAGAGTCTTAAGTATCTCAGTGTCTCGAGCTACATAGCTTGGGGTGGGCCTGAGAGCAAGCCCTTGAGAAATGGTGGCTATGCTTCTATGACGAACACCTACTCAGGTCTCAGCTCAGGTCTCAGCTCCTCCTGGGGCCATCTCTGGCTCTCATTTGATGCCTCTTCGGGTTCCTGTATACCTAGTTTTCTCCCAACATGGCACCTAGAAAGTATTTGTGGAATGAGTCATATTTGACACACAGAGCAGATCTTTTAATATCTCACTCCTCTATAGGATAAAATTATTTTTGTAATTCAAATTTCATATTTTCAAATGATCATGAAATGAAATGAATAATAATAATGGCTAGAAAAGAAATATAGAAGTGAAATTTTTCTTTTACAAAGCTTTGTATGTATATTCATGCCAGTAAAATAAATACATACAATTAATATCATGGTCCAAAAATATGAAAAAAGTACAACTATTTATTTTAATCATTTTCACATCTACCTGATTGTTTGAACTTTGATCCTTTTATTACAGTCTGATATAATGCCTTATGCAAATGATCCTCCAATAACTAACAAGTGAATTTTAATAAAACCAAAACTGCTAAATTGCACCACTGATGTAACATTTATTTTCCTGATCCATCTTTCATTTTAAAACAACTAACACTTTTAAAAGAATAAATTTCCATTTTAAAAGTATGATTCAAATTTGGTAAAATATTTCTGATAATCACCAATCTGTTCTCTGTATTTATGAGTTCAGTGTTTTGTTTTGTTCTAGATTCCACACATAAGTGAGATCATACAGTATTTGTCTTTCTCTGTCTGACTTATTTCACTCAGCATAATGCCTTCAAGGTCCATCCATGTTGCTGCTCATGGCAGGATTTCCTTCTTTTTTATGGCTGAATGATATTGCATTGTAGATATACACCACTTTTTCTTTATCCATTCATCCATTGATGGACACTTAGGTTACTTCCATGTCTTGACTATTGTAAATAATGCTGCAATGAACATGGGAGTGCAGATATCTTTTTAAGGTAGTGTTTTCTTTTCCTTCAGATAAATACCCAAAAGTGGAATTGCTGGATCATATGGTGATTCTATTTCTAATTTTTTGAGAAACCTCCATACTGTTTTCCATAGTTGCTGCACCAATTTACATTCCCATCAACAATGCACAAGGATTCCCTTTTCTCCACATCCTTGCCAACACTTGTTATCTCTTGTCTTGTTGATAACAGCCACTCAAACAGGTATGAGATGGTATCTCATTATGGTTTTGATTTGCATTACCCTGATGATTAGTGATGCCAAACACTTTTTCATTAGTAACGGTGAGCATGTTGGCCATCTGTGTGTCTTCTTTGGAAAAATGTCTATTCAACTTCTCTGCCCATTTTTTGATCAGATTAAAAATCTGCTATTGAGTTGTATGAATTCCTTATATATTTTTGATATTAACCCCTTATCAGATATATGATTTGCAAATATTTTCTCCCATTCAGTAGGTTGCCTTTTCATTTTGTTGATGGTTTCCTAATTTTTATGTATTAATAAAACTAAATAAACTCAATAATATCCACAGCAATTGTTTAGAATTTAGACCAACAGAAAATTTTTTAAAGAGAAGTATTTTAGGGGTCGGCCCGGTGACACAAGTGGTTAAGTGCCCACGCTCTGCTCTGGTGGCCCAGGGTTCGCCGGTTTGGATCCCGGGCGTGCACTGACGCACCACTTGGCAAGCCATGCTGTGGCGGCGTCCCATATAAAGTACAGGAAGATGGGCACGGATGTTAGCCCAGGGCCAGTCTTCCCCAGCAAAAAGAGGATTGGCATCAGATGTTAGCTCAGGGCTGATCTTCCTCACCAAAAAAAAAAAAAAAAAAAAGAGGAGTATTTTATCATAGACATTATTTTAAATTTCTGGCCCATGGTAATAACAAAAAGCAGACCAACTTTTAGTTGGATATATTATTTTTAAGCTCTCCACAGATATGTACCCCTTAAAACCTGCACCTGGGACAGACCACCACCAGAATGAATGAAGCAGGCAAAGGATCTGAGTCCGACTCTGCACCTACGCTCAGGTGACCTGCATTATTTCTGCCTGGAGTAATACTGTTCCCCCATTTCTGCATCTGCTAACTCCACATTCTTAAACCAAGATTTAATGAATGTCCACTGTAGCCTACTCCCTCTCGCTCAGCTTAGGGTCGTCTTCTCCAGGAAGCCTTTGCTGCCCCTGCTCCACTTCCACGCCCTTCTCCCAGGAGTGGTCCTTGGGTGAACCGCAGGGATCAGTTGGATTTCATCTCCACGTGACTGCCGTGGTCAGAAAAGTTTTCTAAATGCACCCTCTGATTAAGAGCTGAAGTCTAGAGTTAGGGCCTGGGTCTGAATCCCAGCATTGGCTCTGGTTCTGAAATTTTGGAAACTGTGATTTAATCTTCCTGATTCTCACTTTCTTTATTAGCAACCAGCACCTGAGAGGATGAGCTTCATGATTTATTAATGATCCATTGATGTCTTTATTCCATCAAACCCAGGACAGAGCTAGCCCCACCCTTCAGCTTTTTAATTTAGAGCCTAATTTTGTTGTGGACATCTGGAATTCCAGGGGCTTGTGGGGAAGAGGAGCTTACTTTGGGGTCCTGCCTCCTCTCTCAACCCGAAACTACACCCCATTGTCCACTGACCATCCTAGAGAGACACGCCTCGGACCTGGGAATGACTCAGGGGCAGGCCCATCTGCCTGTTTTTCCTGTCACTCCCCAGAAGCCGGGTCATTCTGGGCTTCAGTCCTGGGTCAATGAGCTGTCCTCCCACCTACTGCACCTCACCGTCGGAGGCAGTTCTGATTCCTGCGAGTATCTCTACAAAACAGCAAGAGTACCAAGCACCAGGCACTGTTGTAGGCACCTTTCATGCTTTCTCTTCTTTCATCATTCAAAGAAAGGATTCTCGTATCCATTTTATACAC